AAGTCTCCTGTCCAATATCCTATCCACTATGTAACATTCCCATTCGTTACCAACAGGGGTTTATCCACTCCTATAAATCACTGGTGTGGCTGAAAGCACGCCACTTTAGCGGATGCAAAGAACCTGAGCAGTGGAAAACCAGTAAAACGGAGGGCCTATAACAATAGAGCGGGCATGCGGTGCGACATTTGCTACCGTGTACAGAAATCCCGATGTTACAGGAGGAGGAAATCACCGGGGTGTGTGGACCATTTCGCTTCCCAGGACTCCCTTCCCTTGCGGAGAACTGGAGTACCTTCTCCGACATGAGCAGTCGTACCATGTGCCCCCTAAGTGGATACCCCGAAGTTGTTGTAGAAAAATGAAAGTCAGCACAATCGTCTACTACTGTTCAGTCTGCCCATAGATGCATGGTTTTCACAGAAGACAGTGTAAGAGCGAAGAGGTGCTACTGGAGAGAATTCCAAACAAAAAACAGAATATTAACAGATTACAAACATACGCAAGCCGCTCTCAGGCAATTCGTTGTTGAACATGTCTCCAAAATAATTTGAACATGCAGCGAGTATCAGTCGGTGAGCATTGATTCGTGTTCCCTGAAATACCTCACATCTGAGTATACCAGCGCTGAGATTGCCCAGAAACTCGTAAAGATTACCTCAGCAATCAGGGCTACATCACAAAGCAAAAAGTCATCGCGAATTCCTGCGAGTCCATTGATCAAATGAAGCTTGTAGGTTGGGCACTAAACAGTAAACTGAACACTTGCTCACAAGAGAAAATGGTTGGTCGACGTGGACAGGGTCAACCGTGCGTTCGCACTATCTGAACGTGGAGGTCGCATTTAGGGGTTGAGTGGGACTGAGGGGGAGAATTTAGTGGGATCAGTGATTAGAGGGAATGACGAGGAGATGGAACTGTTTTTGTGATCCCCTCGAGTAGTTTGGAGGAGATAAGTGCGGTGGATGTCAGGTTGGTGTCAAGTCAATTGCGTCTCGATCAACTATAGCTCAGCTAGTAGTTGAATCAGATTATATGAAACACCCATGATGGCGGAGGGTGTGGCGCGGGGATGGATTGTATTTAGGGGAGCTTCCTTGAGTCCTTATGGTTTGATTGGTAGTTGGGGTCGCATCGAGCCACTATATGAGGAGAGTGGGTCGCGAAATTTGGAAAGTGCGAACGTCACGGTTACCCTGAAGCGGACCGTGGCGAAACGATTTTGAACATATTTTGTACGTGGTTATTTTCATCTAATTTGCAGCGCTTTTCAAAACAAGGCAGGGTTGACCACACAATCTGTCTTCCATATCTGCTGTGCGACTATGAACAATCATCATTCTGTTGTATAATCCGCCGTTTTTCTTGATATTTCCTTCACGACTGCTCTTTTGGCAACCCCTGCTTAAATTCCTGACGAATGGCCATTTATTGTGAAATCCACCTTCAAAGGCACGTTTCACTATTAGTTTTTTGGACGAACACTTCTCATAAAAGACTTTGCTGGATCCGCAATCGTGGGGGTACTGCCACCTACTTTTGCCCTCAGAACGATTAGTAAAGGTACGATGACTTACTTCAACCACAGACAGACATCCAAGCGACCGTGCATACTTCCCCTTCCAAATGCTTTGATGTTTGCGTCTCTCTCATTCTCCATGCTCCTTCGTCTCTCAATCTGTTCCCTCGCCTAGACGCTCATACTCTTAGAATGTCTTCCTCTCCAAATTTTACAAACTCGACTATTTCCGGAGAAAAAAGACCTAGATTTTGAGTGATTTTAGTGACTCATTCCTTCTGTCACCACTGTCGAGTCAAGCAGCACCATAGGCTTCATATTTAGTTCTTTACGCGCTTCAGGTACCGCTGATCGTATTTTCGAGCTGGACATTTGAATTCAAATTCAAATTTATTACATGCTAACACACATGTAATTTATTTATTTATATTTATATATTTTATTTATTTTATATTTATTATATTTTAACATTTATTTACTAGATTTATTTTCGCGTGCCAGAAACTTGGCATCTATCAATATCATACGAGAATATCAGTACCATTTCATCATGTATGGATAGGAACTACCACATCCTGGCTTGAAGCATTGATAAAAGACAGTACTATGGGATGTAACTGTCGTATGGGTTAGAAATTACATAGTCATGGGTAAAAACACCATTCAAGGCACGGGTCGCGATTAGATCCTTAGAGAAATTCTTGCCTTGAGTGAAATAGCCGGATCCCTGACCATAGGGATGGTGGTGCTGTGGCGACTTGAAAAAGCGCTACATGGGAGCTATTCCTTCGCGTGGTCGCTGCGACCGCTGCCATTCTCATCAATGGAAGCATGCGTGGCGTCTCGCCCACTCTTGCCTTTTTCCCGCCTCGCAGCGCTGGGTTTCTCCATCTTAGCACACTCAACCTCGCAAAAAACTTTTGAGTGTTTTCTACGGCGCCTTTTGCCTTTTCCTCACTTTCCTCTTCGCACTTCTTGTAATATTATCTCATCTGGAGAAGGCATTCGACTACGCAATCTGCACTGGGGGGGGGAGAGGGATACTGAGAAAACGGAACACCTGACTTAGTCTCTGAGAGAGTGAGCTCCAACTGGAAAACCAAATTCCTGAGCTTCTAAGAGGGTACAGAGTCGATCGTGGACATCCTGATGGTCACATGCTGAGAAGGGCGCATGATCACTAACTGCACTGG